GCTTTTAGTCGAATGGTGAAGTCGAAACGCTTCTCCCGCTCGTTCTTTGCTCGATGATCCACCGCTCGAGTCTTTCCTCCAACTCGGGCCACCTCGCCTTATGTCCGCGGAAACTCAGCTGCGTTTTCTTGACCTGCCGGAGCTTGTTTTCTAGCTTCCTCCATTTGCGAACCATCGATTTGTTAATCTTAAATACTCTCGCCGCTGCTCGATTTCCATGTTCCTCCGCATAGCTGATGGCCTTCAGTTTAAACTGTGCTTCATAAGCGTGTCTATTTGCCATTTTCAGGGTTGTTAAAACAACGATGTTCCACATAGTGCGATTGTCCGGTATATACGATCAACACCCACACTACACCCTTTAGCGTTCTCATGGTGTTCTCTACTACGTCCTCCTTATAACACACAGGGCGCACTGCGCTATAGGGCGCGCCGCACTTTTTGAAGAAAATCTAAGACTTTTAAGTGCGCCTTATGGTCGGGAAAATACGGTAGTTAAACTTATGTTTACATGCTTTTTATTAGTATTTATTATATTTAATAAATATAGACATGTGTGGAATCCACAGAAACCTCAGAATCTCAGCTAAAATATCATATAAACCATTTCTACAACCACCAAACACACCGAAAACAAGCCGTGATTAAACGAGCAGTTATGTAAATGCGCAGAAGTCCGCTAAACAAACAAAACCAAACCAGAAATTCTTCAGACTTCATGTAACTGGCTAAAGATAGGCTGGTTAGCTTCCAGGGCTTTCACTGACTCCACACACCAAGTTTCACCACGATCAGACCAAAATTCACTGAATGAGCTGCAAAAGAAGACCACAAAAACACACAGCGGCGCAAATGCGCTAAGACAGAAATTGGCTTACCGTCCCGAGTTCCTCCATTATTTTCGCCGGTAGCCGGTAGCCACGTGATTACCAGTAGTTACCATGCCTACCTAGCCACATCAGAGCTGTTTTCTGTCAACAACCTCCATTTTAGACCCACCTACAGACACATGACTGGACAGACGCCACATGCAGTAAATTTGGTTAAAACGTGGGTTTTGGCATTACAACGTCTGATTGGTTGAAGTGACGTGAACGTGACATCATTACTGTGAATCTATTGGCTCAAACGATTAAAAAGAGGTGTCAATCATGCAAACTGACCAAAAGAATCCAAAGTTACAGCCCCTCAGAGTTTAAAGGGCCAGAGACCAATTAAACGCTTCATGCGCACTGCAGAAAAGGGCCATTACCATGTAAATGTGTGGTTAATTTTTCAAAAATCTATTTTTAAAAACGCATTTTTAGGCCTGTTAATAAAATTTATTATTAATCTGCTCTTTAATACCTAAAAAAATCAACTGGCATGGTGTCCAATTGTGTGCCAAAATTGGACATTTTTGTACGTCTGGATATTCATGTATTGACAGGGCTGTAATTTTTCACTGTTTCACTTTAGAAACATAAATCTTTGCACAGATGATGTTTATATGTTGGTTACTGAATTTCTGGAACCAAATGTGATCTGAGGCATATTTTTAAAAGGGTTATCTGCTAAAATTTAAAAAATAAAAAGAATTAGGCGAGGATAAAATCTACTTACTTTTTCTGTGTTCCAGTCTCAGTAACTTTGACACAGTAATATCTGCTTTAGTATTTACACCTCTGATGAAATTTCCCAAGTGTTAGCTTTATTTTGATACCAAGATTGTAAGGACAGAGTTTGTAATTGCAGAGAAATAATCAATTAAATTTGGGCATTACATTTTCGAGCAGGAAGCTCAGAAACCCCCCCTGGGGCTTAAGAGGTTAAGATAATATTGTTTCTCTTTCTATCTTAAACACACCTAAACACACTCACATTACGGTCCAACATCCATTTCGATATTCTGCTTTTAAGTGAGATATTTTTGCATCATGCAATAAATATTTGTATTTTCTGTATCACTATGAGCTTTGTCTGTTTCCTTTCTCTGTTGTGAAGATAACTGAGACTTGAGATCCGGCTGACCTTTCACTTTCATTTGTGAATGCTTTGTAAGGCAAACCTTGTTGTGTGACCTCAATTAATTTGAGATCACACAAAGTACTAAAGCTAACAGCTAATAAAATAAGTACACACTCAACCAACTAGTTTCATATATGCATACATTTTCATCTAAGTTCTTCTTTCATCAGTTGCTAAATGATACCGTGAACTATGAACAGCTGTTTAATAACTTTTTTGTAGATGACATAAAATTTCATAAAAATGCTATTATTAAACATGTACGAGTGTATTACGCCATAAAATATCCATGTTTATAAATTACATACCAGCAAGTTAAGTATTCATTAATGCTTTACTAAAGCTTTTAAGTGTATAGTCATTATAAAGTGTCACCATGAGGAGTAAATCATGTACCTTCCAAAATACACTTTGTCATTTTTACTGTTTTTCTAAGCAAAGACGATTTTTATTTGATGTCTTTTTCTCCTTTTTCCGGGTTATTTACAGAAGCCAGGGATGGATGTAGCTGACAGTTATGTGACATTTGTCCGTCATTCCCAGGACATGCTGCGGGAGAAGGTCAATGAGGAGGTGTATGTAGAGCGAATATTTGATGTAAGTAAGCTACAGCATTGCCTCTTTTCTCCAAGTCAAAGAGTAACACCAAAGTTTCATTTACTTCATTTGCGCTTAATGTGCAGCTGTCAGGTAAATATTTAGTTTCACATCTTTGCAAGTGAAAAGAGAACAGTAAATGTTCGCAAATATTAAAGGTTTGCTTGGTTTTTTTTAAAGGTTTTTTTTTAATTAATGTATAGTTGGAGGTGAGTTAAACAAACCAAACACACAGCACTTTAAGCTACTGCAGTTCTTACATTCAGTGTAACAGAGATTCCAAATAACAAACATAGGCAACGAGATTGGCTGTTTGTTATTTGTTACTGCTGGACAAGAACAAATGCCAATAACTGCAAGCAGATAATTTCAGGAGGATCCAAGGCCTGTACAAAAGTGTACAAAAAAATAGTTCGCTCTTTCTGCATGTGATATATACAATGAGTGAGTTGATATATTTACAAAAAGTGCCATGTAAAGATCATGTAACAGGCACAAAGCCTGACATGACTAAGGCCTCTTCGCAAGAAGTACAGAGAGTTATTACAGAGATTTGGAGGCCAAGGATAGAACAGGAATGCTGCTGGAATCCAAAATGTCCAGATGTAGGGAGGAAAACATACAGCAGCTGATATTTCAATATGAAGCTCACAAACTCAGCAATGCGCAGAGGGACATTCAGAGACTGTAAGAAAGTGGAAAGGTCACAGTGTCTTATTAAAACAGTACACAGGTTGTTTTTTTTTAATAAAAAGACAAAAAAAAAATAAGCAAACAAGCAAAACTGGCAGTTACTAATGTTTTGTAAACTCTGAAGAGTACACAGAGCTCAGGGCTTTTGTTAACAGGTGATACAAATTCCCATAGTCAACACTCTACTCCATAGCTTAGAGTGCATTGACGTATATTTCAATTACTGCCTCACAGGAGAGGAGAAAAGCCAAATGCAAGACATTGACGTTGACACCCAGGTTTGTGAATGTGATAACTCAGGGATGAGGCAATGTAGGAGTTTGAAATTGATACCTCAGTGCATCTATTAAAAATCTCGGAAGGTCTCATTGACCTCAACCGTAAGGTCAAAGGTCAATGAGATTCATGAGAGTCAAAGTTTTCTGAAAATCTTGTGAATGTGCTAATTTGAGAATGAGGGGAAGTAGGTTTTTGAATTGATGCCATAGGTGTTTCTATGGCAAGCCGAGGGGTAGCACTGGCAGCCGACAGTACTAGTTTAAAAACCTCTGGTTAACTTGCATGCATTACAGTTATATTAAAGTGCATTAAGACAAACCTTAAAAATTTACAGTAGTGTTCAAGAGTCTTGAGCCATCTAACCTCTATTTGTATTTTGATAGAAAAATGAAATATAGGTACAGTGATTTACTGAAATGTTCAAACATACGTGGAAATACAGTTTATAAAACACTGTAAAGGCAGAGTTTGTATTCTGTTTGAAAGTCGATCTTTGGTATGACGAAGTTTACTCTTCAACACCATCTGAACTCTGTCCAAGCCCACTTGTAATTTCTGTAACTACTCCTCAAGAAAGGTTCTTCATGCTTCGTGAAGGACATTTCAAAGTTGCTCTTAGATGTTGGCTGCCCTCTGTTATGTTTGTCATCAAGATGATCACACACGGCTTCAGTAATGATTTGGTCCAAGCTCTTAGGAGGTGAATCTATGACAGATAATGTTCCATTATGTGTTTTTCTATCCAGGTATGCTTTCACTGCATTGATATTTTGATTGGGGTCATTGTTATTCTGAAAAATGAAGTTGTTGCTATCCATCCATTCTCTTCCACTTATTCAATTCAAGGTTGCTGAGGAGCTCAAGCCTATCCCAACTACCATAAACAGGCCATAATATTAGACAGGTCACCAGGCTGTCCCAGGGCTAACATAGAGAAAGAGACAACTTTTCCCACTCGTGGGTAATTTAGAATCACTGATTAACCATCTTCAGTAACTGAATATCTTTGGACTTTGGGAGGAAGCTGGAGAAAACCCACAAAAATGGGAGAACTTGCAAACTTTACACAGAAAGAGATTCGAGATTCAAACCCAGGCTCTTCTTGCTATGAGCCCACAGTGCTAACCACCCTGCCACCACACTGCCAGCTTATAGTTAGGACTGGATTAGGTGATCATGAATCCACCCTTCGAGGCGTCCCTTTTTCACTCACTGTGTGTTTATACACCACTATGCCTTTAATTATGAGTTATTAATAATCTTTGGCTCTCTTCCACAGCATGTCTTTTGTCCTGTCTCCCTCCCCTCACCCAAACTGGTCAATGAGCTTTCTAATGCCGGAGGTTTCTTCCTGTTAAAAGGGAGTTTTTCCTTTCCACTATTGCCAAAGTGCTTGTTCACAGAGGGTCATCTGATTGCTGGAGTAATTCTGTATTCTTTTGGGGTATTTACCTTACAATATAAAGCACCTTTATAGGGACTGTTGTTGTGATTTGGCACTATATAGATAAAATTGAATTGAATTGTTAACCCCTTCAGACTTGTTGCTGATTTCAAGTCCAGTTCTTGTGTAGTCTGGCATGCTTCAGCCTTTTCTGATGATTCTGTTCCTTAAGATTGGCTTCTGGACAGCCGTCCTTCCAATGAGACCAAATCTAATGAGAAACAGGACATGGATTAACTGATGGGTCATTTGCATCACTGTGTGAGGTCTGGATTTTTTTCTGTATTTCCCCATTGTTTATTTGCTCTAAATAGTTTTTCACAGCTGTCAGTTCTTCTTTTGCTCTCAACTTGTTTAACTGCTGGGATGTTTCACTCGTGTTTGAAGCTTTCTGAAAAATGTGGCTAATCACAGTTAGATTTGAAGAGCTTTTCCCCTTAATAAACTTCTTTGTCACAATTTGTTTGATGATTTGAAAACTATCCCAAAAAGTTTCATAGCACTTTAGGTGTCATATTTGATGACTTTTCTTGGCAGAGTTTAATTTAATGGCCTGGCTTCCTTTCTTATTAAACATACACTTCCAGTCACTGTGACCAAATAGTTCAGTCTTTGTGCCATTAGACCACAATAGAAAAGATTTCCATCTGGGCAACTACAAATTTCTGTTGAGTTTAAATGTATTGATTTTGGAGCAGGGTTTTTTTTTGTTGTTGTTGCAACCCTTTCTGTCCCGTTCTGTCTTGCTTCACTATGGACAATGACACTGGTGTTCCAGTAGTTTCCAGTTCATGGCTGACCTGAGCATTGGTAGTTCTTCCTGAACATCCTAAAACATGTTTTTATCATTTTCTTCTGATTTTGGCAAATAATGAACTTGTTTTTTGTTTATTGGTATTCATGCCAGCAAAGGGCAGCTACCAGTTATAGTCAATCAGCATCATTAAGAATAATGTAATAGGCCTGGGTTTTGCCAAGTTAAAATACAATATAGAAAATTCAGCAATACCTATTAAATAATGTAAATGTTTTTGTGTATATTTGACCCTGTGTAGACCAGAAAAAAGTAATTGAAACTTGTGCACCAAATATTTGTTTTTTAAAATCACTGAAGACTTTAGACAGCTGTAGGAGCCATTCCACCCTGGAAAAAGAACAGTTCAAAGGAATCAAAAGGGCAAAATAAGCATTAGTGGGTACACATTTGTGACCACAACTATAGGTGCTTTTATTATGCATGAATGACTCATAGATTGGTATCAAGCGGTATAACAAACACACAAAATGTTCGACACAAAATGTTAAGGCACAAGGACTGGACTCCAAGTGAGTGAAAAAGCAGCTAATGACCAAAAAGCCTTTATAAGACGTTCAGAAGACCTTGGGAAACCACTGCTCAAAACCGCTTTAAAAAATTATGAACATCTGGCTCCTTGCAAACAAACTATAAAGTAACGAGGGGCTACTCAAGACTTTCACAGTACTAATACTGTGTATACTACTGTATTGACAATAAAGCTCTTGAATCTTGAATGAATCTTATTGAATGCAGAAATATCCGATTTAGTTTTAAATGGTTATTAACCCTTTAAAGCTGGTCAGAGCAGCACACTCCGTTTTGCTCAACTATTTTTTAAATCCCTGTAGAACCGGAACCATGTAAGCTAGCGCAATAATTTTTTTTGCATATGAAACCGGAGGAGTTGCACTTACATCTTATGCCATCAGCTTGTACTAGGTCACGGTTTCCTTCCACATATGGCTTTGCAAAAACTGCATAAAAAGCACTGGCAGCAGCAAAAACATAATATTCCAGAAACACGCTTTGCCGATCCGATCAGCTGTTCATAACACTTCCTACGTTAGAATAGGCGTCAGCGTGAACTATCGCATGTCCGCCATGACCTGCCCGAAACTGGAAGTGACATCATTTTCGTGGAAATGTAGTTTTTTACCATCAGGGCGTCATGAGCCTATACTTGTGTTTTTAAAAGTTATGTTTGACTTTAGTCAAAGGAGCTTGCAAAGAAAAGCGTCTGGACTTCTTTAAGTTGCTTGAAGACATTTCACCTCTCATCCGAGAAACTTCTTCAGTTCTGAAGAAGCTTCTCGGACTATAAACGACCAGCTTCTTCAATGATGAATGCCGACACTTCACTGGCTGATGAGCTGAACACGTTTTATGCTCGCTTCGACGCCGCAGCAATTAAAACAACAAACGGCTGCGCGCGCTCGGAGTGCACCAGTGAAGAAAATGCATTCGTCATCACAGAGCATGCCGTGAGGAACACTTTCAGGAGGGTGAACACCAGGAAGGCAGCAGGACCAGATGCAATCCCTGGCCGGGTCCTTAGAGCCTGCGCTGACCAGCTAGCACCGGTGTTCACGGAGATCTTCAACCTCTCCCTGGCCCAAGCTGTGGTTCCCACGTGCTTCAAACAGTCCATTATTGTTCCAAAGAAACAACAGCCCGCTTGCCACAATGACTACCGTCCAGTAGCACTGACTTCAATTGTGATGAAGTGTTTTGAAAGACTGATGAGAGATCACATCACTTCTTCACTTCCTGCCACCATCGACTCACTTCAGTTTGCTTACCGGACTAATCGTTCCACAGACGATGCCATATCTCACCTGCTCCACACATCCCTGAGTCACCTGGACACTGGCAGAGGGAATTATGTTAGGATGCTGTTCGTGGACTACAGTTCAGCATTCAACACAATAATTCCCTCTAAGCTTTTCACCAAGTTGACGGATCTAGGACTCAGCTCATCACTGTGTCAGTGGATCCTCAACTTCCTCACAGACAGACCCCAATCAGTGAGGGTGGGAAAACAAGTCTCCCCCTCCATCTCACTCAGCACTGGAGTGCCTCAGGGCTGTGTTTTAAGCCCCCTGCTGTACTCACTGTACACTTATGACTGTGTAGCCACATCCAGACACCACCTCCATTGTCAAGTTTGCTGACGACACTGCTGTTGTGGGCCTGATCTCCGACAACATCGAGACGGCCTACCTGGAGGAGATTAGGAACCTGGAGACCTGGTGCCAGGAGAATAACCTCCTCCTAAACATCAGCAAGACTAAGGAGCTGATCGTGGACTTCACTACAAAGCAGGCGAGGAATTACAAACCCCTCATCATCAGTGGCACGCCAGTGGAGAGAGTGGACAGTTTCCGATACCTGGGTGTCCACATCACTCAGGACCTGTCATGGTCCTGCCACATCAACACCCTGGTTAAGAAAGCCCGTCAGCGTCTCTTCTTCCTCAGAAGACTTAGAGACTTCCATCTGCCACTGAAGGTGCTCAAGAACTTCTACTCCTGCACCATCGAGAGCGTCCTGACGGCAAACATCTGCACCTGGTTTGGGAACAGCACCAAGCAGGACAGACGAGATCTGCAAAGAGTGGTGCGCTCAACCGAACGCATCATTCAATCAGAGCTCCCTGACCTGCTGTCCATCTACATCAAGCGTTTATTTATTTTTTTAACAGCGCATTGTGTTCTGCGTCCTGATTGGCTGTAGACTGTAGATTGTCAGTCAATCTCGTGCCGTGTCTCCTGTACAGTACAGGATGCGTTGAGCTTGTCAAATTTACATAAATTGCTAGCAGTGTGACTCTGAAGTGCTGTACTGTATGTTTGTACGTTTTCTCCCTAACAAACAACAATGTCGACGAATCATTTTGCACCGTCAAAGGCAACCGCGGGTGCCTTTGGTTTCATTCTCTAATACTGGGCTTATTTTTCTATAAAGGTTTGAACTTTGAGAGTTTAAACAAGAGAGAAAAATGTGAAAATGTTCATGTCTGTCTGAGAAAAGTGCATAAAGTGTGTAGTGACGGGTTTTACAGCCTTTAAACATCTATAATAATTGTAAAAAATAAAGTTGGCTACTTCACGGGTTTCACCTATCACCTTTCACACGACAGACCGCTGTATATGCTAACTAACAACAGATACAGATATTGAATACATATAGAAAATAAGAAATATATGATATTATGAGCTGACGAAATATAACTGGGACATGATGTGCAAAATGCTTTCACTGAATCCAGTGTGCAAAGTTTTTATAGCCAGAGTAAATAAGTGTGTTATTGCAACATGTTAACTGAACAGTGATCTGAGGGGCTGTTGTTGTAGTCTGACAGCCCAGGGAAAAAAACTATTCTTATGCCGTGAGGTGTTGGTTCTGATGGACCGCAGCCAGGGGGAGGTGTCACAAACAGTTTGTGTCCAGTGTGAGGGGTCCCCAGCAATATTCCTTGCCTGCCTAAGTGTCCTGCAGTTGTACAGGTCTTGTAGGGAAGGCAGATTGTAGCCAATCACCTTCTTAGACACACTGCAGTCTGTGTACCAGATGGTAATGGAGGAGGTGAGGAATGATTAATTGATGGAGGAGTAAAACTGCACCATCATTGACTTTGACAGGTTGTATTTTTTCAGCTGGTGCAGGAAGGACATTCTCTGCTATGCCTTGTTTATGAGAGAGCTGATGTTAAGATCCCACTTTAGGTCCTGGGAGGTGCTGATTCCATGAAGTAGAAGGCCTTCACTGTCTCCATTGGGCAGGCATACAGCAAGATGGGATCTGGGGAGGCTGGTTTCAACCTGAAGTCCACTATCATCTCTCTGTTATGGCAGCATTGAGCTCCAGATTGCTGGCACTGCATCAGGTCACAAGACTGTCAGTCTCGCTCCTATAGGCCGACTCATCTCCACCTGCACCTGTGGTGTCATCTGCAAGCTTCAGTTTGACGGACTGGTGTCTGGAGGCGCGGCTTTTAAGTGTACATGGAGAAACGCGGAGGAGAAAGTACACAGCCTTTCTGATTCCATTATCAATATCACTTATAGGTGAACTGGAAGCTAATAGAGCTGTTTAAGAACATGACTAAGGGATGGATCCACTCGAAAAGGAAAGTTTAAAACCTAATCTTAAAAGTAGAGAGTGTCTGTTTCCATAATCTAAACTGAGAGCACAAGGGCCTGAAAATTCTCCTTGCTGGTTTATCTCTAAACTGGATCACAGAACAAGAATCTTAGTCAAGCATGCCCATTTCTTTATTGTGTCCTGATATGTACAGTTGGCCCTACCTGCCTGTAGCATTGTGTTAAATCAAAGCCTTTAGGTTTATTCCTTCTTCTGTGATCTCTCTGTCTGTATGTCCTCACACAGGCTGACAGAAAGATGTCTGGCGCTAGATGTTTGCTGTTTGTTTCTACAGCTTGATCTGTTACTTTGCCATGCATCCTGTTCTCCTCCACAAGAGCATTTCTAATGGAATTTGTCTCAGGCAGTCTCCTCTGTTGTCAGTCTGTATCAGTTCTCCCTGCAGCATTACAAGGGCCAGTGAAGGTGTCTGTAGCTGCTGCCTACAGCTCTGTTGTGCTTTTCTTGTCACTCAGTCTTTAAAAAAATCAACAACAAAACCCCCCAAAACAAAGCCTGTTTTCTCTCTGTTAGCTTTGTGCAATAATGCAGTGCATACGCCACACTTAGAAAGGTTCCTTGTGTCAAATAAATAATTAAATGGAAAATCACTGGCACGTTCTTCAAAAGGTGGTTGGTTCCAAAATTTAAGCCGCTGACATTAATTGTTGTAAAACTGTTGTAGGAAATTTGCTACTATTTTGAAACACCATCAGCCAGAGTTACAGTCCACCACATCAAAGGGCCTGCTGTGTGTGCACGTGAGTGCTGGGGTAGGGGTTGTCATCTTAAATTAACATGGATGGATTCTCTTTAGTCTTTACTTTGTTATGCAACCCCAATTCGGTTGAACAGATTCAAGTACAGACTGTACGTCTAAAAATAAATATTTTCTGGAGTTCCACAGAATTATATCCTTGGGCCTATATTTTCCACATATACACTGGGCCACCTACACATTAGACCAGGGGTCGGCAACCCTGGGCACGCGTGCCCCAGCTGGCACGCGAAGAGTTAACTGATGGTACGAGCATAGCTGGACGGGCCGATGATTTTTGTCAGCACCACGAAAAACACGGATACATCCATAGAATTCACAATGTGTTTTCGGGACTTTCAGGTGTTTGGACCAATGTTTTCTTTTCTGATCAAACCAGAAAGGTTTGTCAGCTGGATTTGTCTCGCATTAACTGGCTGGACACAGAGGACATTGAAATGCAGCTGATTGAACTGAAAAGCTCGACTCTGTGGGGTCAAAGTTTGCAGAACCACAGACGCAGCTGGAATCCACAGCTGTGCGTGTTCATGGAGCTGCATTTTCACCTGCTGGACGTCACTACCTGACAGGTTTAACTGTCTTCAGAACATTGCAGAGGCCTTATTGACAGTATTTGGCTCTACATGTCTGTGTGAGCAGGTTTTCTCTCACATGAGTCCTCAGGTAGCCTCTGAATGCTAGACACTGGGAGACCTGTGTCTCTGAGTGGGAGACCAGAGATCAGATTAACATGTGTGTCTCTGTATTAACAAACATGCCATATTGGCCCAGTTTATTTTTCTTATCATTGTTGTGAGGAGACCATAAATAGCATTTGGATTTTCTGTTGTTCAGTTCATTTGCTGTTATGGATAAAAAGTCTGTTTTTGTTTCTAAATAGCTGATAAGTATTCGCTGACAGCTGCCAACATCTGCAAACAAATATGATTCTATAAAGTTGTTCTATATAGTGTGTAACTGTTCATATAGAGCGCTATTAAATT